CGGGCCCGCCGGGCCGTGAGGAGGCCGCGGGAGGGGCGGGCACCGGGGGCTGCCCGCAGGAGCCGGGGTTTGGTTCGATTTGTTGTTTTTAACGCTTGCTCCATAACATCAACAATTCATTAATTATGATTTGCCTTATTCATTTGGCTTTGTTTTCTTTTCTGTTGCTTTCTTTTGTTTAACATTGATCATGTTTCGCCCTGTTTTTCATCCCCCCCCTGTCTGCAATCAACTCCTTCATTCCAATAAGGCTGGGCACAGAGTAAGTTTACTCCTCTTGGCTGTTGCTAACACCGGTGTTAAGGGCTTGGTCATGTTACTGGATGATTTGAATGTCAAATGGCACCGATGAATTAGGGGCTGCTGTTCAAACCACCAATTTCCTAGTAATTGCACCCAATTCCCAGTAAACGCCAGATGTTGTCACATTCTTTGCCACTGTTTGATGTTGCACATACCTGTGATGATTAAACACACTTGGATGCTTTTAATTTAATTAGTGTTATTGTAGCTTGCTGAGCTTTAATTAATGTGGGCTCAAATGTGGTTTGGGGGAAAATGCAGGTTTGTCAGCAGAGGGGACTGGTGGGTGCTGACTCTGCTGACCTGGGGGCTGTGTGTGTTAGGAGGCAGTAGAGCTGTATCCCACAGGCATCCCACATAACTGGTGTTGCATCTCGAAGTCTCTTCAGAGTCAGTAAGAGAATCTGCCTTGAAAAAGCAAAATCAGTTGTTACCCATTTTTAAGTGCATTCAGGTTTATCATCTATGAAAGGTTGGACTAGATGCTCCTGGAGGTCCTTTCCAACCTGGCATTCTGTGATCATCTGACTGATGCTAATGAGAGTATTTTTCACTGGGAGCTCTTGAAGAGAAAAGTGTGCCTCAGGCACTGAGGCCAAGATTTTCAGCACTGAATACCTAAAGCTAGGCTCTTCAAGCTCTGTCTTGAGATTAAAGGAAAGCTTTCCAAAGACCAATATGAAAGTTTTTTGCTGGGGGCTCTTTAAAAACCATCCAAAATGTGTCTTTTTTTTTTTTTTGTGGGTTTTTTTTCACCCTCTCCAGAGTTAGTTTTATATTGGCAGGTCACTGATTAAAAAGCTCTTGTGTTGCTTTACCAGTGCTCCCACCACCTGCACCCCAGAGATCCCTGCCTTTGGTGGGGGCACTGAGAGCTTCCAAGTCAAGAAACCCAACCCAAAACCTAAACAGAAAAGTTCCCTCTTCCTTTTCTGGTAGCTTCATGGCCTAAACATTTAAAAAGCAAATATTAAAACAAGGTACATTTTTAGCATAATTGCAGCTGCTTTTACAGATCTCTCAGCTGTGTCTTTTCCAAACACCTCAGATGGTTGTCATGTCAGGAACTGACTAACAAAGCATTATGGCTGGAAGATAATGCTTCTCTCTTCACATGGAGCAGTTTGTCAGGCTCCAGAGCCAGTGTTCCTGCACTGCAGTGGCCTAACACCCCATGCTTGATAGAGCTTTTCATCTCCTTGTTGCATAATTAATAACTTAATAAGCAATTCAATGCTTTGCTGGCATTATTTCTCTATTTGCAGATTGAAAGCCAGGGGTATTAAACTATGGTCTTAATTAATCTGAAGCCTTGATTTTGAAGCCCCCATTAAATTAGGACTCTCCTTGCATCTATTGTACTGAAATTAAAGATAAAGATAAAACACCCCCTGGGAGCTGCAGTCTGGGTCAGCATCTCTGCAGTGCCCTGGGCAGGGGGGGTGTTTGGTTTGGTTTTAAACTGTTGGTCCTTTCAGTGGTTCCTACAGTGCAGACTCTGGTCAGCTCTGAACACATGTTGCAAACTTGCTGCTTTTTTATTTTTGATAAGGAAGAGAACAGAAGTTAATTAAAGTAGAAAGAAACTTGGATGTAGAGTTTTAAAGGGAAGTGGCCACTATTTAGCCAGGTCTGGGCTTGAGAGCATGTGTTGGAGGTGTCTTATTTAGTATTTTTTGGATGTCTAAGGAGAAAAAAAAATATGGAATAGTTCCCAAATCTGTGTGAAATACATCAGGCAGCACCTTGTTTCTTTTGTTGTGCCTTGCAATAGCTTTCAGCAAAAAATAAGGCAATAAAGTCTGTAGAATGTTGTGTTTTAAGCCCCCCACCTTGTTCTGTGTTAGGAAGGGCTCTTGTCTTCCCTCAGTAGAGCAAAATTCCATGACCATTTCATTCATATTTTTGTAGCTTTTCTATCAGAATGCAAAGTGGAAGTCTGTAGAATGTTGTGTTTTAAGCCCCCCCCCTTGTTCTGTGTTAGGAAGGGCACTTGTCTTCCCTCAGTTGAGCAAAATTCCACGACCATTTCATTCATATTTTAGTAGCTTTTCTATCAGAATGCAAAGTGTTGAAGCTGAGGAAATATTGCAGTGCTGTTTCCTAATGGTTCTTGTCTCCACAAGCCTCTGTTAACAATCTTTCTTTCCTGCCCTGGCACCTGGAAGTTGGTGTTAGTGTTGGGAGATCTTCACATTCCACACCGATGCAACAGCCTCCCAGCCAAGTTCAAAAAACTGCTGGTTCCTGGGAAGATCCAACACATCCTCTGCACGGGAAACCTCTGCACCAAGGACACCTATGACTACCTCAAGACTCTGGCTGGGGATGTTCATGTTGTCAGAGGGGACTTTGATGAGGTAGTGACCTCTCCTGAGAGTGTCCTTCTGTGTGCAGCGTGTGGGGGATTGGTGATGCAGGTGGACCTGGGCAGATGGGTTCCCTAGTACTGGGGGCACCTGGAAAGCAAAGCTGGGCAGAAGGGCTGTGGTTACAGGCAGTAACTCTGCCCGTGTAAGACCACATCTGGAGAGTCGTGTCCATGCTGGGCTCCCCAGTTCCAGAGAGACAGGGAGATGCTGGAAAGAGTTCAACAGAGGCTACAAGGATGATGGACTGAAACATCAGTCATATGAGGAAAGGCTGAGAGACCTGGGGCTGTTTAGTCTTAAGAAGACTGAGAGGGGACATTATTAATGCCTGTAAATATCTGCAGGGTGGGTGTCATGAATGGGCCAGAAACGGCACCAAGTGACAACACAAGAAGTTCCACCTCAACAGGAGGAGAAACTTCTTCACTGTGAGGGTGACAGAGCCCTGGGACAGGCTGCCCCGAGAGGTTGTGGAGTCTCCTTCTCTGGAGACTTTTAAGACCCATCTAGACACATTCCTGTGTGATCTGCCCTGGGTGTTCCTGCTGCAGCAGGGGCGTTGGACTTCATGACCTTCAGAGGTCCCTTCCAACCCCTATGGTTCTATGATTCTAATGTGAATGCACAGGGAGTTCTCAGCAGTGTTTTGCATACTTGGCTGTGTCTGGGAGCCCAGCAAGGGACCTGCTGCTGGCAGAGCTCTGCAGTTCCTTGCATCACTCGTGTTCATAAAGCAGCTTTGTAGCTCTCCTTTTGGAGGAGCAGGGCTTCTTACCCTGAGTATTATTTCCATAAGCTTCCCCCCCTCTCTCTTTGGTGTTGCATGGAGTTGTTTTTAAAGATCAAGCTGCACATCTAATCTGTTTGTTTGTCTTTTAATTTTTAGAACCTGAATTACCCTGAACAGAAAGTTGTTACTGTTGGACAGTTCAAAATTGGGCTGATTCATGGGCACCAGGTTATTCCCTGGGGTGATATGGCCAGCCTGGCACTGCTACAGAGGCAATTTGATGTGGACATCCTAATTTCAGGACATACACACAAATTTGAGGCATTTGAACATGAAAACAAGTTCTATATCAATCCAGGATCAGCTACAGGAGCCTATCATGCCTTAGAGAAGTATGTGAAGTGTGGGAAATACCTGGGGGGTGGGATGTTTCTTTGTGATAACACAGCTGAGCCCAGACCTTGTGAAGGTTAATGGCTACATTCCAACTGAGAGGAAGGGTTGGCAGTACCTGCTACACCTCCTTGACTGAAACAGTTGAGAGTGAAATACTTCAAGCTTCAGATCTGATGTGTTTACAAAATTCATGATCAGTTTCTCATAGTGGTTTCTATGAAGCAGTGGTGAAACACTGCTCAGGCAGTTCCCCTGCAATTAATATGAATGTTTTTCCCTCTCTTTCCAGCAACATCATTCCTTCATTTGTGCTGATGGACATCCAGGCTTCCACAGTAGTGACATATGTCTATCAACTCATTGGAGATGATGTGAAAGTAGAAAGAATTGAGTACAAAAAGTCTTAAAAATGTCTTTGCTTGTCTGGTACTTTTACCATCTCATCCTGAACTGCAAGTTACCACAAGACTTGATTGCTAGTTTACAGCCCTCCACTTACTGCTAACAGCTTAACAATGTAGCTTCTCCACACTGAGTTTAAAACAACATTGTGTTTGCTTTTCTCTGTATGAATTGATTTGTAAAATATTCCATTAAAATAACTGTTTAAATACTGTTCCTTAATGTTGTAATAAACTCCACTTGGTAGAAAACCTAAGGTTTATGAACTGTTGGTGGGAAAAAATGCAACAGTTGTAGTTGATTGTAAAATGCCTGATGCTCTGGTTTGGTGACTTTTACCTAAAGGAAAGGGCTTGAGCAGAAAGATTGAGGCCCTGGGGCAATGTTATATTTGCTTCAGAATCCACTTGATCTTGAATGTTGTCAATTAAGATTCCCAATTAAATGTAAAGAATGGATTGATAGATTCTGAAAATAT